CACTTTATGTAAGTGGAATCACTCCCTTTTTTATGGCTGAATAATATTCCATTATGTATATATACTGTATTTTGCTTGTCCTTTCATCTGTTGATGGTCCCTTGGTTTGTTTTCACCTTTTGGCTATTGTGAATGATGCTGCTGTGAACATGGGTGTACACATATCTGTTTGAGTCCCTACTTTAGATTCTTCTGGATATGTATGGTATTGCTGGGTCATATGGTAATTCTGTGTAGCTTTTTGAGGAACTGCCAAACTGTTTCCCACACCAACTGCATCATTTTACATCACCACCAGCAATGCACAAGGGTTTTGATTTCTGTATATCCTTGTCGACACTTGTTATTTTCCATTTTTTGGATAATAGCCATCCCAATGGGTGTGTTGGAAATTTTTTAACATCTACTCTGATGAATGTTGGGTGACTCAGAAGAGCTACTTACCATTTTAAGGGCCAGTTCCCTCAAGTTACTAAAAGGGGGTAGTCATCTAAAACCACTCATTTTAAAGGAGCAACAGGGATTCTGGCCATCATGTACAATATCAGCTTATTCATAAGGTATTTTCATTTATAAAAAGGTTTATGTTCCTTGATGTGAACTTTTTTCTTCTTATGTAGACTCAGGGATCAGTTGAAAACCTTGGATTCAGAAGGGGCACAATTTGGAGCTCTTGGATATGTATAAGCTGCCTGAGGCACACAGTCAACTCTTGGGTTTGGCTTTTAAAGTTATGATTATTGGTTTCTGCAGTCCTATGGATGACCTTTTGTAAGAAGTCCTTTGACTGTACCTATCTATCGTCTTACTTTACCTTTCACCTTGCTTAATATACATGATAAACCTTGACATATGTTAAAACAGAACCCAAAAAACCTAGGGTAGAACCTGCTAGAAAGGGCTGTGAAAGAAATTAAAGCTATGACTGTCTTCAGGTGTTGCAGTTGTTGCTCAAAAATCAATCATTTGCCTCTCCTCATTGCTTCAGTGAGCTAGCTAGTTCTCTTGTTACAGGAGTATTGTCCTGTGCCTGTCTAGGAGCTGTTGTTGAATATTTAAATTTATTTTTTTTACTTTATATTGTTGTTGAATCGACAGGAGTATTGTCCTGTGCCTGTCTAGGAGCTGTTGTTGAATTTTTAAATTTATTTTTTTTTACTTTATATTGTTGTTGAATCGTTTTGAATGAGCCCAGGTAGAGAAAAATCTGTTTGTAGATATTATTTCTGATGGACCACCTTTTTCCCTTGAAAAACCCACAAAACTGTTGGGAACTGGTGAATCAGTGTTGTGAATAAATGGAAGTAACAACTAGAGGAATTCAGTTTTTCCCTTCTTTTTTTGTTTGTTCGTTTGTTTTCTGGCAGAAACACTAGTCTTGAGGGGTAGGCTTGAGGGCAGGGTGGAAGATTTTATGATCAAAATCTTTGATCAAGTTTGAGAAATGGTCTCTGCTATATTCACCTGTTAGTAATTTGTAATGCACATTCGCACCTTAAAGTTTCCATGAAGTCCTGCAGTAAAGGCAGTATATAGTTTTGTTTAATGTGGTGTTTTCCAGACTTCACAATCCTTTCATTGAGTAACCATTTAACATTCCTTGGAACAGATATTCCTCAGGTCACACGGGGAAATTAGGCCATTGCTTTTGATGTATTTTAGTATAAAAATATGAGTTCTGAGTAAAATGTGGATATTCTTGAGTCCAAAGAAGTGTGAAGGCATCCTGAAAAGCGAGTTGTTGCACCTTCTTCCTCAATTTTATTCTGCCATCTAAGCATTAATGGACCCTTTGTATATGGCTCCCTGCTATAGTATATATACAGTTTTGGAACAGTGTATCATGGAAGGTGCTATGTAGTGGTAACTACTGTGGAACCCTTTATTCTTTTTTTCTCTTCCACTTCGGGGTGGGTAATTTTGTTCTTTGTGGTTGTTTCACAATAAATGTTTGGAACAGCACTAAGCACTTCTGGAAAATGGGTTGAAAATGGGGATGAGGATAGTTTGTTGTGAATTTGGGTCATTAGTTTTAGAGACTGGGAGAGTTTTATCACTGAAAAGGGATCCACTGCTTGGAGTAGAATTGGCCCTTACCCCATCCTATTTGCTGCTACTTGAGAGACTAGGAGAAGCAACTAAGGACCTTCAACACCCAGGTGAATGAGCTTAACCCTTTACTTGGTGGATACTCCCCCTTTGGGAATTGGTGTCTTTAAAACTTTTAGCCTTGCAGGCAATAGCTGTCACAGATGTTGAGTTTCTGAACTGGGACAAAGAATGCATTGGCAAAATATAACCATTGATGATAATCACCTTTCCAGATTTATTTAATTATTACATCCTAATGTAATATCTCATTCAGTTCTTGTAACATCCCTATTACATAGTTAAGGGAGAAATAATTCTTATTCCTCAGATTGGAAAGCTTAAGGCATAAATGTAAGCAACTTTTTCTAATTCATAATGCTGTTTAGTTTTAATTATAGAATCAAAACTGGAATCCATTTCTCCTATCTCCCAAACAATTGCTCTATTTGCTAACTGCATTAACTGAAGTTTGTTTTGATGTGTTTAAGTAAAATTTTAAATAAATACTTGTATTTTTATGGAAGTTTTATTAGCCAGGAGAAAGTAGTATTGTCTTTTTTTCTAGAGGTGAGAAAAATGAGGCTTAGAAATATGGTTTTGGGCCGAGCCCGTGGCGCACTTGGGAGAGTGCGGTGTTGGGAGCGCAGCAGCGCTCCTGCCGCGGGTTCGGATCCTATATAGGGATGACCCATAGCACTCACTGGCTGAGCGCGGTGGGGCCGGTCCAAAAAGGACAAAAAAAAAAAAAAAAAAAAGAAATATGGTTTTACCCAATGTAATATAGTTTGTAAGTGAGAGCTGTGACTACAACTTAGCCCTTTTTTGTCCAGTGTTTCCCTGATAAACCACACTATTGGTAGATAGTATCTTTAGTAGATGCCAGTAAGGATATGTTGAATAGAACTCACTCTCCCTCAGTCTTCAATCCTAATGCTAGTAAGGGTAAGTTTTCAGGTTTTAGAGAGTATCAAACTTTTCTCCCAGATCCAGTTTATAGACCAGGATTAGACTGGTCTACTTTGTGGAATGCATGGCTTGAATTAGATGCCTTTTCAGGGCCCAGATGATAGGTCTAGAAAAGGTAACTGACTGTCAGGAATCAGGGGAAGAGTTAGGACTAAGACTACATACCAGTACAGAAGTCTTAGCAAGACTTAGCAAGAACTGGCCTTTGGTCGGGGCAGGGCTCAATCCACTTAGACTGTAGCACTGGACCAAAAAGCATATTTAATTCTGTTTCTAGGCCCGGGTTGGCCACTTGACAGTGTTTCCTCGGCTAGACCAGTGAAGTGGGAGTGAGAGCCTACTGGAGGGGAGAGCCATGCAAAGATCCAGGAAATACAAATTATAGTCAAGTTATTAATCTAATTAAGTAGAACAGTTATTGAGTCTTTTGTTGACTGTTATTTGTTCAGCAAGAAGTCTTTGAAATTGAAATAATGTACCACTCTAATCTTCTAATCCAAAGAATGTGCTAACTGCAGAGGGCAGTTCAGTTTAAATTGGCTCTTTACATCAATTTAAGAAATGATACTGCATCTAGATTGAATGAGAGCAAGGTTAGGGCAGTGGTTTGCAAACTTTAGGGAGGGTCAGAATCACCTGGAGGGATTATTTTTTTTATTTTTTATTTTTTAAAAGATGACCGGTAAGAGGATCTTAACCCTTGACTTGGTGCTGTCAGCACCAGGCTCACCCAGTGAGCAAACCGGCCATCCCTATATGGGATCCGAACCCATGGCCTTGGTGTTTTCAGCACCGCACTCTACCGAGTGAGCCACGGGCCGGCCCATGGAGGGATTATTAAAACACATTGTTGGGTCCCACTTCTAGAGTTTCTGTTTTAGTAGGTTGCGGCTGAGGTCCAAAATTTTGCATTTCTAACAGATTTCCAGGTGGTTGCTGATGTTGATGCTGCTGATCCTGGGATCACCCTTTGAGAACCACTGATCTAGGACAAGAGGATAAGTGGGTATAGCTGTTTAGTTCCTCATGATTAAGGTCTTCACACAGAGGAGAGGAGAAGGGAACTAACATTTAAGCCTCTACCCGATAAAGACCCTGTGCAGATGATTTGCAATCATTCTTTAACTTAACCCTTGAAACCAGTCTTCAAAGTAGTCCTCATTCCCATTTCTCCTCTGAACATACACCTTTTAAAAGTTTGCTGGGGGCTGAGCCCGTGGCGCACTCGGGAGAGTGCGGCGCTGGGAGCACAGCAGCGCTCCCGCTGCGGGTTCGGATCCTATATAGGGATGACCTGTGCGCTCACAGCGCTCGCTGGCTGAGCGCAGTGCGGCTGGTCTCAAAAAGGAAAAAAAAAAAAAAAAAAAAAGTTTGCTGGAATAATTCTTTCTTTAAGGACAGCTTTTACTTATACCTCAAAGAATAACGTTGTTATATACCATTACAGTGGTATATCCATTACAATGGTTATATACCATACAATGTTATATACCATTGCAAATGCAATTTAATGTAGAGGATTTGTTAAGTTCCATTGCTGACTAGGTATTATATATTCATTACTCTTCCTCTAGATTTATGAGATATAAAATCTAGATTAATTTAGCAGTATTTATTATACAATAGATGGAATTAAATGTTGAGACATGTTTTCTCATAAAAAAACATAAAGTAAATGAGAGCTTGACTTTAAGATTAAGTACAATACAACTTTCAGATCACTGGAAAGATGAACCTGTGTTAATTTTGTCAGGGTGATTTTTAAAAACTATTTCCAATTGGTTATTGACCAACTCTATTTTAGAAACAAACAAGTGGAGGAATTCTTGAAAATGCAACCACAGAATTTACTGGCTTAAAGTACTATATTCTTTGTTAATGTTTTTGAAAGCTCAAAGTGTTTTTAATGGAGCTCAGTGAAGTTACTTTGTATTGTTTGACAGAATCGCCCAGACCTATTAAAAAAAGAAAAACAGTGATTTAAGCAGTTGAATTGAAGGCATTCTGGGAAAACCTGCTGTTTATTGTGAAAATCATCGTTGATCTTGGAATTAAAAGTAAAGCTGGAAAGGAATTTACAAACAAGAAAAAAAAGAAGTTTTGAATCGAACTCACAGGATCTGGGCTTGGAAATGCCTCAGGTAAATCATACAGATTAGGTGCAAAGTTTTATATTTTCCCACTGCAGAAAGTCAGTACCATTGGTTCTGTTAAGTCCTCTGAACCTTAACTCCTCTTGACATACTACCTTTTTTGTCAGGGGGAGGTGGGTACGGCGGGGGCGGTGCAAGCAGCTGGCTGGTGTGAGGATCCAAACCCTCAACCTTGGTGTTGCAACACCACACTCTTAACCAACTGAGCTAACTGGCCAGCTCCACATATTACCTTTTTAAGACATCTTATTTCTGGTCTCAGCTAGTTTTGTGTATGCGTTCTTCCTGTCATCTCCTTCTATTTCTTCTTTGTTACAGCTTTGAAGTTTAATGAGCACAATTAATACAGGCAGCAGGTTAGAAGGTAGACAGATCTGCTTTATGAGGGCTAAACCAGCTCTGCTGAAAGTTAATCTGCCATAGAAATCCATTTCCATCTCCTCTGTCGTTGCCTTCCATTTATGCCAGTTGAGTTTAGAAGTAGTAAAGAGGAAATGGTGAGGGACTTCAACTTCTCTATCTCTTTCTCTCATACACCCCCCCCCCCACATATCCATGTATGTGTGTGTGTATAAATGCACCTCACAAAAAACATGTCTAAGAATGTTTATATCTGTTTATATTATGGCATCTACTTTGAATTGATCAGTTTTGGTTTGAGGCAATCACTGAAACAATAAATGAAACCTTATTAGTCCCCATTCCCCTTAAGTTGTTTTATGTGGGTCCATACATTGAGCACAGGAAATCAAAAACTTGCCGGGACTGTCTGGTGACTCAGGGAGGTAGCTAGCAGAGGCAAAGAAAGGAGACTTGCCAGCTGATATTAAAAAGACCAGAGTATACCCTTTTAGAGTTTTTGCCCATTCAAGGTTTAGTTTGCTATTTATTGAATACTTTTTAGGGCTATAAAACTTTTCTCAAGCTAAATTTTTCTAGGAAAAAAGGTCCTGCAGGCATTGGAAGGGTTGGGGGAAAATAATAGGAAAAAAATAAATGGGATCAGAAGTACAAATGAAGAAAAATGTGATTGAAAGAGTATGTAAAAAGGACAGTTTGTGGTAAGTAGAAGGTATATGAGGAGAAAACCGTAAACAAATAGACTTTTTTTTTTTTTTTTGTGGCTGCAACACACTGAGCTAACAGGCCAGCCCAACTAATATTATTTTTAAAACTTTTTGAATAAACTCACAGAAAAAGAACAAAAAGGAAAAGAGAACATTCTATTCTTTCTCCTCCTCTTCTTTCATCCAAGTTTGATTTCATAGTATGGCCGTTCTATTATTTGAGCCACTTTAGGAGTGTGGTCCCTAACTTGATTCTGGAGTGATTTGTGTAGATGTCAAAATGTGAAAAGGAGATGGAGAGAAAACAAGAAGGAGCATTAACTCTGGGTGCTGAGTTTTTTTTTCCCCGTTCTTATTTATTATAGAATGGACTGTATCCTTTTCTGGGATCAGGATTAAGGCTTCAGAACTCATGCCCAAGTTACTTGTCTTACCCAGGAGATTTTTGTGTATTTTGTTGATCCTCTTTCCATCATGTTCCTGGAGGCATTTGTTGGACTAGAGATGTCCAAATTGTCTTCCAGCTTGTTTTAAGAAATAAGACATTGGACTCACTTAGGAGTGTAGAGTGAGACTGGTTTGCTATCTCCTCAGACCCCAGGAAATGGCAGGGAATTCTCTAGTAGATAGAGAGTTCTGTCAGGGAAGGATCTGAAGAAATGTTATGTAGCTAAATAAAAGTATTAATTGGATGCTGTATGTGGACTCTGGTAGCTAAATAAGCTTTAATTTTTAGAAGTCAGATATTATTAACAATTGCTACCCTATTTTTTTTCTGTTTTTAATGTATCTTAGTTATTTTCTTAAGTCCACAGTTTAATACTAGTTAAAGCTCTTAAATGTACTACACAATGAAAAAATAATTGTTTACTGAAAAAAATATGTTAGTGGAGGTTGGGTTGGGACTCGTGTGATAAATTCGTCTTGAAGTAGTCTTTAACTTTGTAATGAAAACCACTCTGTTGTAGCCTAGTGTAAGCGGAATGGATCCGCCTTTTGGGGATGCCTTTCGAAGCCACACCTTTTCGGAACAGACTCTGATGAGCACAGATCTCTTAGCAAACAGTTCAGATCCAGATTTCATGTACGAACTGGTAAGCAACATTTTCTTGGTTTCATCTTTGATTTGGGGTAAAAGTGTTGTGGTAGAGTTTTTTATTTATGAATGCCTGCAAAGGAAAAAGGGTGTGATTGGGCCAAGTTTGATTCTTGCAAGTATACGTCTAGTAATTTTATTTTATTTTATTTATTTTTTTTTAAAAGATGACCCGTAAGGGGATCTTAACCCTTTACTTGGTGTTGTCAGCACCATGCTCACCCAGTGAGCTAACCAGCCATCCCTATATGGGATCTGAACCTGTGGCCTTGGTGTTATCAGCACCGCACTCCCCCGAGTGAGCCACTGGCCAGCCCCCTATGTCTAGTAATTTTAGAAGGATGTATGGACCTGTTGAAAATAGTAATAGAAAAGGTTTTTTGTTTTTGGCAGCTGGCCAGTATGAGGATTGAAACCCTCGACCTTGGTGTTCTAACCAGCTCTGTGCTCTAACCAGCTGAGCTAACTGCCCAGCCCCGGAGAAAAGGTTATTTAAATATCTTCAAGTTCAGTTTCTGATGAAGAGAATGGGAAGTGTCTTTTTTAATATGCCTAACTGCTGAAGGGCTTTTCAGCTGAAAAATTAAGGAGTGATAGCATTGAGTAAGATGTATGACAAAGAGAATGTGAGATAAACATAGCAATTCCAAGTAATATCTGAATATACTTATTTATTCTTGAGGTAAATAGACACTTAAAATTCCTAAGAAAAAACATTAAAAAAAAATTTTAATTACATATAATTTAAGCAATGGAGAAGTATGTAAAAACTGGAAAACAGTGCACAAATCTGTAAATTTACTAAAAATCATTGCGTTGTACACTTAATACAGGTCAGCTGTACAATATATAAAGTATACTTCAGTAAAGCTGTTAAATCACACAAAGACACACAAACAAGCCAAAACAAAACAAGAAAAAACCCAAATGAACAAATTAATTTAAAAATCAAAACAAACTGGAAAACTGAAAACTTCCTTATTTCCTTTCTGATCCTCTACCCTCCAGACCTTTTCCCAAAATGTAACTACTGCTAACAGAGTTTTTTCTTATATATATAAACATGAGTGTGTTTTTTAATTGGATGATATATTTATAGATACAGTATGCTGTAACTTGCTCTTTTGAACATAAAAGTATATATTGAGCAACATTTCATTTTAGTACATTAGAGCTAAACTTCATTCTTTTCAGTGGCTTCAGTCTTACTGTCTAAAGTCACATCTCTAAAATACATGAAGAATATTTTACTCCCCATGCCCAAGAGTTGTTGTAAGGTCTTGAAAAAGATCTTATCATTCCATGGCTGAGTTCTAGCTCTTTTTTGATTTCTTTTTGCCCTTTAAGTTCCCACTTAGGAAGACATATTCTTCATTATTTGCTTCTTAATTGAATCTTGTTTCTAAGGAGATCCCCACATCTTTCTAAGATCAAGAAATGTAAACTTTTTCAGGAAGAGTGTTTATGGTAAAGCTCAAGAGCTGTTAATATTTGGACCATATCTAAGCCTCTCAAAGGATATTTTTTTCCTCTTTTTTTCTTGTCCAAGGAAATGATGATATTATATGGAATGGTAGTGTCTTGTCAGTAGCCTTTATCTTAAAACAGACCAGAGGTCAAGTACTGATTTATCAATTTGATATATGGAAGTGAGGATGGAGGTGAATATTTTCTTCCTAAAATTGGTATGTGATTTCTTTTTTTAACTTTTCTCAGGATAGAGAAATGAACTACCAACAGAATCCTAGAGACAACTTCCTTTCTTTGGAGGACTGCAAAGACATTGAAAATCTGGAGTCTTTCACAGATGTCCTGGATAATGAGGGTGCTTTAACCTCAAACTGGGAACAGTGGGATACATACTGTGAAGACTTAACAAAGTACACCAAACTAACCAGCTGTGACATCTGGGGAACAAAAGAAGTGGATTACTTGGGGCTTGATGACTTTTCTAGCCCTTACCAAGATGAAGAGGTCATAAGTAAAACTCCAACTTTGGCCCAGCTTAATAGTGAGGACTCTCAGTCTGTTTCTGATTCCCTTTATTACCCTGATTCACTTTTCAGTGTCAAACAAAATCCCTTGCCCTCTCCATTTCCTGGGAAAAAGATCACAAGCAGAGCAGCTGCCCCTGTGTGTTCTTCTAAGACTCTTCAGGCTGAGGTCCCTTTGTCAGACTGTGTCCAAAAAGCAAGTAAACCCACTTCAAGCACACAAATCATGGTGAAGACCAACATGTATCATAATGAAAAAGTGAACTTTCACATTGAATGTAAAGACTATGTAAAAAAAGCAAAGGTAAAGATCAACCCAGTGCAACAGAGTCGGCCCTTGTTGAGCCAGGTTCACGCAGATGCAGCAAAGGAGAACACCTGCTATTGTGGTGCAGTAGCAAAGAGACAAGAGAAAAAAGGGATGGAGCCTCTTCAGGGTCATGCCACTCCTGCTTTGCCTTTTAAAGAAACCCAGGAACTATTACTCAGTCCCCTGCCCCAGGAGAGTCCTGGGTCAATTGCAGTGGGAGAGAGTAGCAGCCTTTCTGCCAGCACATCGGTCTCAGATTCATCCCAGAAAAAGGAAGAGCACAATTATTCCCTTTTTGTCTCTGACACCTTGGGTGAACAGCCAACCAAATGCAGTCTTGAAGAAGATGAGGATGACGAGGAGGATGTTGATGATGAGGACCATGATGAAGGGTTTGGCAGTGAGCATGAACTATCTGAAAATGAGGAGGAGGATGAAGAGGAGGAGGATTATGAAGATGACAAGGACGATGATATTAGTGATACTTTCTCTGAACCAGGTATTACAATGCTTGCAGGCTCACCAAACTCATCTTTCTATTACTGTTTTGAAATAGAAAGTTTTTGTTTGGATGATTTCTTTATTTTGGTTTGGGGATTAAATGATTTAATATCTTGGCTTGGATATGTGATTGCTTTTTTCTGTTTAAACGATTCTAAAATGATCACTTTTGCTCATATAGTGGTTTATATACTGATTCCTTGGTGGCTTATTTTTAATTTATCTTATGTTAAGTGACCTGGTTTATCACTGTCTTGAACAGCTATGTAAAGATGCTGAGAATTTATTGGTTTTAAAAAAGTTCCCTTTACGCATGCGTCTCTCTATTATAGTTGAGATAAGTTACAAGTATTTAGAATGGTGGACCAAGTGATGATGGTTTATGTTACTCATGCCTATAACAAACAAAGCCTACTAATGATTAATGTAAAGGAGAGCTTTTTCTTTGTGCTGTGTTTTTATTTCCACAGCATTTTCCCATTTAAGAAAAATACATGCTGTAATTTGAGCATGAAGGAGACTCTGCTTTATATATATACAGCACATATAAATAAAAGACACAAAGAAAATGACACTTATGAGGAACTGGTTCACTTTAGCATTTATATGATTGGACTGTTGCCACTGTTGACTTGTGAAGTTTACTTATGAAAATAGTATTGCCAAGTGGCATACAGTTAAAAATGCACAAAGTGAAGATCTTCAATTTTAAGCATAAGTTACTTTCAAAAACAGTGTTGATACTTATAATTCTGCATAAATACTAAGTTATTAAAAATAAACTTTATAAATTATCAGAGAGCCCTCTTGTTACAATGATGAGTATTGGAATTTCAGACATTGTAAATATCGATATTTAATTTTCTGAAATGTTTTTAAGGCACAGTAGCTATATTGTAGCTAGTGAGCACTATTATTGCTGAAAGACTTTTTTTCTCTTGGTGAAATATTTCTGTTACATCATAAGTGCTTAGATTTATGCAATTGACAAACAAGTTGTTTGATTTAGGTAGAGTTTCAAGTAAGCAAAAAGTACTCTTAAGTTTAATGTGGAGGAAGAAGTTCTGTGCCTTTTTCTTTAATTTACTTTAGAACTCTGTATAGTTGAGATAGAACAATTGTCTACTTACCAGGAAGATTTTTCTCTTGGCAAATTAGTAAAATCTGCTTTGAGATGTTTCATGGAAACTTGTCTTTGTAGCAAGGGGTAATTTATATAGCTCCCTCCCCTAGGAAGATCATAGTTCTGTCAATGAGTGGTCCTTAAAAACTGACAGGTGAGTCCTATTGTTTTGACTCTTCTATTTAGGATTAGGGTGGGAGAGTAGGGGAAGGGTGAGACAGAGAAGGGATGGGTAATAATTAAGGGAAATGGAAAATGTGGGAAAGGAAATCCCCTTACCAGCTGGTGCTTAAAGGAATATATAGATCAGAGGGAGTCAGTAAATCCTACCATCACCAAGGCAGACAAGGACTGTACTATCTACTACTCCACTTTTGGTTGTGGTTTCCTTTTCTTTGACCTCTCCCCACATCCCCAACTTAATTGAGGTATATTTGGCAAATAAAAATTGTATATATTTAAGGTATACAACATGACGTTTTGATACATGTATACATTGTGAAATGATTACCACAGTCAAGCTAATTAATATTTGTCCATCACCTCACATAGTTTTTTTGGTGGTGGTGGTAAGAACATGTAAGTTCTACTGTCTTATCAAATTTCAAGTGAAATGATTACCACAGTCAAGCTAATTAATATTTGTCCATCACCTCACATAGTTTTTTTGATGGTGGTGGTAAGAACATGTAAGTTCTACTGTCTTATCAAATTTCAAGTACATGATACAGTGTTATTAACTATAGTCACCATGCTGTACATTATATCTCCAGAATTTATTTATCCTGCATAACTTAATATTTGTGTCCATTGACCATCATCTCTCCATATCCCCTACCTGCCAGCCCCTGACAACCACCATTCTACTCTCTGTTTCTATGAATTTGACTTTTTTAGATTCCATATAAGTTTAAGTACTTTTTTAGATTCCATATAAGTTTAAGTAAGATTCCATATAAGTATAAGTAAGATCATACAGTATTTGTCTTTTTGTGCCTGACTTATGTTGCTTAGCATAATGTCTCTCAGGTTCATCCATGTTGTTGCAAATGGCAGGATTTTTTCTTTTTTTAAGGTTGAGTAATATTTCATTGTGTGTGTATATCTCACATTTTTTTTTATCCATTCACCCATTTATGGACACTTAAGTCGACTCCATATCTTGTATATTGTGAATAGTGTTGCAGTGAACATGGGAATGCAGATATCTCTTAAAGGTACAGATTCATTTCCCTTGGCTATATCCCTAGAATTAGGATTGCTGGATCATATGGTAGTTCTATTTTTCGTATTTGAGGAACCTCCATATTGTTTTCCATAATGGCTGTACCAATTTACATTCTTACTGATAGTGTACAAGTGTTCTCTTTTGTCCACATCCTCAACAATTCTTGTTACCTTTTTTCTTTTTGATAATAGCCACTCTGACAGGTCTGAGGTGATATCTCATTGTGGTTTTTATTTGCATTTCCTTGATTATTAGTGATGTTGAGTGTATTTTCATATACTTGTTGGACATTTGGGATGTCTTCTTTTGAGAAATATCTATTCAGGTCCTTTGCCCTTTTTTAAATCAGGTTATTTTTCTTGCTGTTAAATTGAGTTCGTTGTATATTTTTAGATACTAACCCTTAACAGATGTATAGTTTGTGAATATTTTCTTCCGTTTCATATGTTGTCTCTTCACAATGATTGTTTCCTTTGCTGTGTAGAAGCTTTTTAGTTTGATGCAATCCCATTTGTCTATTTTGCTTTGTTACCTGTGCTTTTGGAGTCATATCCAAAGGATATGCCCAGACCAATGTCAAGAAGGTTTTTTCTTATATTTTCTTCTAGTAGTTTTACTATTTCAGGTCTTATGTTTAAGTCTTTAATCCTGAGTTGATTTTTGTATATGATGTGAGATAAGGACCCAATATAATTCTTCTGCATGTGGCTATCCAATTTTCCCATCACCATTTATTGAAGAGAATATCTTTTTACACATTGTGTGTTCCTGGCAACTTTGTTGAATGTAAATGCATGAATTTATTTCTGGGCTCTCTATTATATTCCATTGGTCTAAATGTCTGTTTTTATGCCAGTATCATACTGTTTTGATTATGATAGCTTTGTAGTACATTTTGAAATCACATGGTGTGATGCCTCCATTGTTGTTCTTGCTCAAGATTGCTTTGGATATTTGGGATCTTTTGTGCTTCCATAAGAATTTTAGGGTTTTTTTTTTTCCTATTTCTTTGAAAAATGCCATTGGAATTTTGATAAGGATTGTATTGAATCTGAAGATCAAATATTAAAAATAGAACTACCATATGATCCAGCAATCCTACTGTTTTGGGTAGTATGGACATTTTAACAATATTAATTGTTCCAGTACATGAACACAGAATATCTTTCCGTTTATTTGTGTTGTTTTCAGTTTCTTTCATCAGCATCTTACAGTTTTCAGTGTAAAGATCTTAAACCTCCTTGGTTAAATTTATTCGTAAGTATTTTTTTATGCTATTGTAAATGGGATTGTTCTCTTAATTTGTTGGATAGTTTGTTAATGTATAGAAACACAATGATTTTTGTATATTTATTTTTTATCCCACCACTTTACTGGGTTCATTTATCAGTTTTAACAGTTGTTTGGGAGAGTATTTTTAGGGTTTTCTATATGTAAGGAAGATAATGCCACCTGCAAATCTTCGTTTCCTATTTGCATGCCTTTTCTTGCCTCTTTCTTTCTTTCTTCTTTTCCTAATTGCTCTGGTTGGCACTTTCAGTACTATACTGCATAGATAAGTGGTGAGAGAATGGGCATCCTTGTCTTATTCCTGATCTTAGAGGAAAAGCTTTCAGGTTTTCACCATTGAGTATGATGATATAGCCTTACCATATATGGCCTTTATTATGTCGAAGGACATTCTTCCTATGCCTAACTTTTTTTTTTCTTTTTGTTTTTTTTGGTGGCTGGGCAGTATGGGGAACAGTACCCTTGACCTTGGTGTTACAAGGCTGCGCTCTAACCATCTGAGCTAACTGGCCAGCCCCCCATACCTAATTTGTTGCTAGTTTTTTTAATCATGAAAGGATGCTCAATTTTTTCAAATGCTTTTTCTGTATCTGTTTTTGTTTAATCATATGATTTTTATCCTTCATTCTGTTAATGTGGTTTACCTTGATTGATTTGTGTACATTGCATCCCTGCATCCCTAAGATAAATCCCACTTGATTATAATGTATGATCCTTTTAATGTGCTGCTGACTTTGGTTTGCTAGTGTTTTGTTAAGGATTTTTTTCATCAATGTTCATTGGGGATATTGGCCTATAATTTTCTTATCTCGTAATGTATTCATCAGGCTTTGGTATTAAGGTAATGCTGGCCTCATAAAATTTGGAAGTATTCTATCCTTTTCAGTTTTCTCGAAGAGTTGTGAAGGATTGGCATTAATTCTTCCTTAAATATTTGGTAGAATTCACCAGTGAAGCCATCTCAGGTCCTGGCCTTTTCTTAGTTGAGTTTTTGACTACTGATTCAGTCTTCTTACTTTATTAGTCTGCTCAGATTTTGTTTCTTCTTGATTCAGTCTTGGTAGGTTGTATGTTTCTAGGAATTTATTCACCTAGGTTATCCAATTTTTTGACATATACTTGTTCATACTAGTTTGATATAATTGTTTTTTTCTGCAGTATTAGTTGTAATGCCTCTTCTTTCATTTAAAAATGTGAGTCTTCACTCTTTTTTCCCCTAGACTATTTAAAGGTTTGTCAGTTTTATCCTTTCAAAAGAACAACTGTTCTTTCCATTGATCTTTTCTATTGTTATCTAGTGTCTATTTTACTTATTTCTGCTCTGATCTTTATTTCCTTTCTTCTGCTTACTTTGGGT